TCACATGACATGTTAATGGAGCGGTAGAGTTACACACAGAGGACAATGCACTTATTCACAAAAACAAAAGTTCATTATTTGCTCGTGCTTTAAAGCTTTGCCGGGTAAACATTTCTTTGCCGTTCTATTCTAATGCACTTTTTCTGAGCGCGGACTGTCAAACAGCGCCACTCGGATTTTTGTTGGGTCAGACCCATCTGACAGCGATGGCCCGGGGACCGAGACTGAGAGAGCTACATGGAAAAAATATGCACCAAACAAGCCACTTTGAAATTTACCTGTTTTGATGAATACAAAAGTTGGGTGAACCTCCCCTATAGACTAAAAAAAGTTGGATGACCCTCCCCTCATCAAAGAATAAAAATACATGACCCTCCCCTATTTTCCTCCGATGGACCTTTCCATACCGAACGGTCGCTTAGTGTAAAATGGAAATGCATGGTAATTTTATAAATACAATGTTTATTCGGGATTTGAAACAGTCATCAAAATGATTGAACCTAAGTTCTACTACTCGACCACAACTTTTCTCACTGAACAATGCCCAGAAGTTCAGTTGTTCAGCAGTCAGTGTGCAGGCGCGAGAGAGAAGCGCTCTTCAATCTTCTCATTCCTCAATAGCGTCATTGAAAGCACCCAATTTATTTCACTGACTGCGAGATAGGCCTATTTTAACTTTTGATTCTTAAAATGTTCTGCTATAAAAGTTTGCTATATTCTATTTAAAGGCCATGGTGCAGGTTTTTTTTTTTTTTTGGCAATTTTCTAGTTGGTAATAAACATTTAAACAGTTATCCATTGTATCTGATGTTGTAGGGTACTCGAAAATTAAAATATAACACGGAAAAGTGGGTGAAATGTTAGCTTTTAGCTAAAGCTAAGCGAGGATTCTTATTTCTCCCACAATGCATTCCATGACGTCACATGAGGTACTCGCTGACTGTTGGACGACAGACAGCCCGCGGCCCTCCTACCATAACATTGAGGGAGAGTGATACGAGGAGTAAGTTACCTAGCTTGTGAAACAGTGACACTGACAGTGACAGATTTATAAGTAAATATAGATAGATAGATAGATCTTCCGAAGCTGGGTGCAGTTTGTCAAGATTAGGCGAGCAGATTTTTCAGCTAAGTTAACTTTAGCTCTGTCGCCGACTCGCCGCCCTACTCGAGAGTATGCAGCGCGCATTTCAAAGAGGAGGATAACCTCTCAGGGGCTGCCAAGATGGTCTCACTTCACTTGGATTAAAGAGTGAGAGGAGTGCTAAATTACTTCCAACCGCACTGCCATCTGTGAATGCAAACCTCTCTGCTTGCCCTGTCCCGAGGTCGAGAGACACCGTCTGCCGCAAGCGAGAAATTGCCACGGTAAGCATCATGCTAACGTTAATGTTTACAAGCTGCATGTTAGCTAGCTCTGTTTAGCTAAGTTACCTCTCAGTAATTCACTACCTCACAGAGTTTGTTACTAACTTTACCACATGTATTACCACTAGTATTGGTGTGAACATTTAATAGTAACATTCAAATCATAAAATATGGTCTGCATTTCTTTTATGTATTTTTTAAAACATTTAGTAGCGCATATCAGGGTCCAATGGGTAATCTCCCTGGCAATCTCATAACATTCTGCTTACTGTTTATATTTGCTATAATTCATATGCAGGACTTCATGTTTTTCCATTAGTTGCAATGATCTTTATACAGTATTATTATTATGTCTGCAGGTTATGCAACATCTTTAATGAAGGCCCTTCGGGAAAGCTACACCAATTCACCTGCAGCTCTTCGAGAGGTTAGTGCCAGTTTGTCCTGATGCACCCGCCCCCATCGCCACATCCTTCAAACAGGTTCCTGAGGAGGCCGTCAGCCTCTACCTAGCCCGACAGTCACGCTTCAAGAAACTAATTTCACATTATTTTCTTTCCACAGACAAGTCCAATGATTTAGTTGTATTTATTTATTTTAGTTGTTAGTTATCTTCTTTCCTTCTGTCCCTGTCATCTCATTTAGTGGTGGTTTCCTGGATTCTGCATGTTTTGTTTTTTTCTTTTTGTGCTGGTGCTTTGGTTTTACTTTGCACAAAATCATTACTTTTTTTTCTTAAGCTATTGATTCCCGTGATCTTGTTTATAAATTCCGATTCAGCCATTAGCCTACCTTCGTGATCACGCAAAGCGGTCTGGAGAGGCGGTCCGTTCAAAATTACAACCAACATAAAATATAAGTGTGCATGTACAAATTTGCAGTAATGTTCGGTAAAAATAAACTTTATTAACATAAAATGAAACCGGAGAGATAGTTAATGAGTGAATTAACTATGTTGCTAAACATGATCCATAACTGTTAACGGGATTAATTTCAGTATGGCTAATGTACCCCTTCATCCTACCCTAATCATGGACTAAACCATATCAGAAAACACACACAAATACATGTATTCGATGTACAGTACACATGTATATTTGAATCACACATTACTAACCTCAACCCATACACATAATATATTAATTGTGTGTGTGTGTGTGTGTGTATAATATATTATAATATATTATGTGTATTATATATATATATATATATATATATATATATATATATATATACACACACACACACACAATTCATTTATTTAAATGGGTTAGGGTTATGTGTGTATATATGCATAGGCCTACATACATAGATGCATATATATATATATATATTATAAATAATATATACTTCAGGTTACCGTAAGTTAGCTAACTTTAATGAAGAGTTGGTCATGTAAGCTATAGCTAGCTGCAATTAACGCATTATCTTCCAATAAGTATTAACTAAAACTGGCTACATAAAATGTACTGACTAGATTCACGAGAGGTCGGCTAATGTGTGTAAAAGTAAAACTATACAGTAATTTCATTAATCTACCAGCTCCACGACACGCGTTACTTCCTCATTCCAGAGTTCCTATGGCGGTCTATGGGAGTGTCGTAACTCTCTCTCTCTATGGCTCTCTGGACTACACTATTACAGGCTAAAGATTTTTTGTATAGAGTTGTTTACTTGAAACCTGTGTCTTTGTTCAGTAATCTTTGTCCTTGTTCAGAAAATGTTTAGTAACCATTACAAGCAATGCCCATAAACTGTTTTATTCTTATAAAAATTCATGTGTTCTGTGTACTTTATAACATTTTGAGGGCAATTGGGTGATAACAGAATAAGCAATTATATTTTTAAATTAATTTTCATCCAAACGAGGCGATTGAAAGCCCTGATAGTTCTGGTCACGACTTTGGAATTGTTGTCTGATGGTTGAAACCACACGAGAGGCTTCTTCTACTCCTGCTTAAAACACCATAAGCCCAGCGTATAGCCTGCCTGTATGCAGTGTACTGGTATTGCCTAGGGATAATTAGGAAAGATTCTTAAGTTTTAAACTCTGTAAGTAGGTTGGAAACGTCTCTGATTCATGTTTATTGTGTATGCAACACATCTCGTGTCACCTATAGCTGTTGTTCATGAACATACTCGTGTGTGCTGGCTTGAAGGGGACCATTATCCTGCATGAAGTGAGTATGCTATGTGTAGCACAAATGGATCCAGGCATTATGCCTCTTATCCAGGATGCTGCGTTAAGCACGTTACATCTGTATCAGTATATTTAAAATAGCCTATGCCTCCTCTGTATGGATAGAAAATTGTTATATTACAAGACACAAATTCAGATAGGCTTCTCAGAGCCTGTTTTATTACAGGTTTGAATGAATGAAATGTCTCTTCTGTATTAGAAAAATAAATATATAATTAAGAAATAACTCCAAATGTAACAAAAATAGCTCTCACAAACTTACAAAAACGAACTAACAAAATGTATCTAGTTTTCTTCCTCCTTATCCTGTTTTTCTTCCTCATCCTCCTTGTTTGCCCATCTGGTCTTTCCCAGAAGTTTTTTGAAAACCACATTTTCTGTTTTCATGTCCTGTCCTGGCTGTTTTTATTTTATTTTTTTAATTATGAAAATGTCCTGGTAAAACAGGACTGTTGGTCACCCTAACCAAGTCTAAAGTCAGTGGCGCGTTGCGTGTACTTTCAGATGCTATTTTAAGCGCGCATGCTTGCAGATACAGAGTGAACAACGCGCATACACATAGTAGGTGATTTTCTCATTTACACAGATGCATTTTACTTTTTACAAATGATGCATTATTATAAGGAAAACTATTTAAACACGAGGGAAATCATTGTTGTGTTCATGATGACGATAGGAAAAATAGGCATAAAGCATACACATTTGCCCAAATTGATATGCATGTATAACCGAAGCTAATATGGGTGGGTTTGTCCATCCAATGTCACTTCTATTTCTTTTACGGCCCTGACGAGAACATCGATCTCCTCGGCTGTGAACCATCAGACTTTACTGTGAACCGATTCTGAAGCGCGCCGCTGCCTGCTGCCTGCAGCTGCGTCTACCTCATGTGACGTCATCGCCGAGTCGCGTGAAAAATAACCGTCAATAAACAAAAACTACAAAAACGGGACTTTAACACCATTTTTGAGATATTTCTTACTTTGTATACATATCTTAACTGCTTTATGTACCCATTAATCGACAGTAGTGTTTAACCTGCACCATGGCCTTTAAAATGTAGGCTACTTTTACATAATTACGTTTTGCTTTCGCTAAATGTCCCTTTGCGCCACCTGGTGGTCATTTCGCGAACGACTTTGAAATACGGCTGGTTTATTTTTGCCGCGGTGGACTTACCATAAGGTAAATCTGCGGTAAGTGTCAATCTGGTTGTCCACCTATATGGTAATTGTCAATCGTATTTGATGATAGTGGTCCTGATAGAAATAAGTTAACAAGACTAAAATAAAGGTAAGACCAAATATTTAAGGATTCTGCAAGAGCTTCTGCAATTTGAGCAATAACTGTAAAAATACATATTTTAATAGTACATATCTCAGTACATACTCTAGGTCTAGTGACATGTGGTATAATAGCCAAAATGACTTACCCAAGTCTCTTAACAGAAGTGGCTCATTCTTTTCCAGGCAAGAATAAAAGGCAGATTTAACCTTGTTTCCTCCAGAGTTCAACACTTCATATAACTCTCTCATTTTCTCCTGGTTAGTTTTTTCTGCTTTGATCTTATTGTAAAGCTCCGGTTGCAGCATGCCAGCAGACCACAGCTCATCCGCTATCTTCATCACCATCTGTACTCTCTGGACAAGTTTCGCCCAGTGCTCGTCCACAAACCGAGCACCTGGTAGAGAGATAATTACATGAGAACTTCTCACAAGGAAGAACGTGATTTCATTAGTTTCAAGTCCGGTATATTATATAGTGTAGCAAGTACTTATTTGAGCCACTTCACTTTTAATCAGGGTAAAGCAGATTATCTTTCATATGACTATCTCTGCTTTTACTGTGGTAACTACTTACGCTCTGAGTCTTGGTCCATGGTTCTCAGTGTTGTAGAGAGTTGAATTGTCCTCTAGGAAATGAAACACAATGCAGATAGTGTGAGATGGTTGAAGAGAGCTTTTGTGACCCATGGCTAAAGATAACAATATTGGTATTCAGTAAATTAAGTGGCATGTACAAACATTAAAGGAGCATTTCACCCATTGCAACATTTATCTTTATTGAAAGTGGATCATATATGTAGTCGAAATGTAAAAGAATTTTTTTATTTGGTGCCCTCTTGACCGTGAAAAGACAGAAAATAACCAAGAGGCGCATTTGTATTAAAAAAAAAACTACAGATCCCACAGTGCACTGCATTGCACAGCTCCACAAGCCACACCCACTAATCCGGAACAGAGCAAACAGAGAATTCACTCTTCCGTCTACAAGGCTAACATAAGCTGTCACCAGAGTCTGAAATTCATTTCACACAAAATGTCTAGTTGGCTGTGGCGAACAGGACGATCGAGGGCGAGGGACGTGGCTGGTGGCGTGAGTGATAATGAAAGACACCTGAGGCATGCGCCGTTCTCGCGTCTCTCACGGAGGAGAGAAAGCATAAAATGAGATGGCAGATCGAGAGAGAAACAGGCCTGATTTTATTATGTTTTGTTTCTGTTGTGTGTAACGTTACAGCAGTCGTCAATGAGGGGCTGCTCTGCTGGCTTATACTTTTGTTTTGTATTTGTTCATTTTACTATTAAAATATTTCAATGTTCGCCAGTGCATGCCTCCTTCCCACAACAACAAACCCCGTTCACGTTACATTGGCAAATTATTAGTGAACTAGAAAAAAAAGTTTGATGACACAAACTTTAAGTTGGCTTGAGAAAGCCGGACCAGAGCGTTTGAAGAATCTTGAAGTTTGAATGAAGTTTTAAAGATGAAAGAAAGAAAGAAAGAAAGATTAGTTAGAAAGATAGATAGATAGATAGATAGATGTTTTTGGCAAGAAGCTAACATGATTAGCATGTAGCTAGCTCGATGCTAATATGATTAGCATGTAGTTAAGATGATTGGCATGTTGTTAGCGTGATTAGAATGTTGCTAGCATCATAATAGCATGATTAGCATGTTGCTAGCATCATGCTAGCATGTTTTTAACAAGAAGCTAGCATGACTAACATGTAGCTAACATCATGCTAGCATGATTAGCATGTTGCTAGCATCATGCTAGCATTTTTTAGCAAGAAGCTAGCATGATTACGATTACATTGTTTCATAGCCTCATCTGGTGTTTGTGCGATTACCCAGTGCCGTGGTTGCTGCTAGTGTCCTGTCTTTGCGAGCCCTCATCGACTGCGATTTCTGTTGGCGTGTTTCAACGAGGACGTAAGTCTCTTGTTTTTATTGAGCAGCGTTTGTCTCTCTGTTTTTTAGGTACTTGCTGTAATGAGCTTTTATTGATTTAATGTTTTGTTTATTAGTTCCGGGTTTAGAGTGATCACTACAAGTTTTCCGAGTGCGTTTGTTGTGCTGAGAACGTAAGTTTATTGGCTTCCTTTCTCCCTCACGTTTGTACATCTTCATGGAACGTCTATGTATGTAGTTCTGTTGATTTGCAATGTTTTTTTATTATTGTTTGGTTTGGGAATGTTCAAGTAAAAACCAGACGGAGTAAAGTGACCGCTACAGTATTATAAATAACCAAGCTTTTGGCTTGATGCTGTGGTCTGTTCATACAGGAGGAGCGACTTATGCTGTCCTGGCCACTGTTTTTCCTGTGCTCTTGTTTTTAGGATTCAGATCCGTGTGTGTGTGTGTGTGTGTGCGTGGGGAAGAACTGTCTATTGGGTTGCCCATGAGTCTCTCCCTGGTGTGTTGACGTATGTTGTATGTTATGTAATGTTTGTATTTTAGGCCATTGGGTTGGTGCAATATCCTGGGTAGGGGGGGATAACAATTTTGTTGTGTGGCCACTGGTTTGTTGAGTGTGAATTATTTTTTGGGGGTTATATTTGCGCATGTGATTTTGTGACGTGCCTTATTTATTTTGTGTTTGAGTTTGTTGTATTTTGTTTTTGAGTTATTTAAACACTTTGATTTTGGATTTTGTTGTCCCTGACTCTGAGTCCATTGAGCCAAAGAAAAGGGGAAAAAAAATAAATTTTCTATTTTTGTAATACTCCAGTCTCTCTCTCTCTCTTTATTTCCCTTTATTGGGATAGCCTGCTGGTAAACATTTAAAATTCTTACGGTCGCTTAGCCATGAGTATTTGGTTGTAATAGACCCTCCTGAGGTTACATTTATTTCATTAAAATATGGTGGAATGTGCAGAAAATAGGTTTAAATGTTCAACAATTCTCTTTTAGTCTGAGACTGTTGCATTTAATTTAATTTTTGCTTGATGCAATGTGCATAAAGTTAAAATATATTGAAACTAATAAAACAAGTATAAAAAAGAATGTTTAATTTGATTAATTTTAGATGATGGAATATGCAGCAAGAATAGAATTAGCCTGAAAGGTCTATTGCTTTAGCGTATTCAGGTCATGCATCATGTTTTTGAAAAGTAACTTAGTAAAGTAACTAATTACTTTTGAAAATAAGTAATCAGTAAAGTAATTGGATTACTTTCTTGGAGAAGTAATCAGTAATCAGCAACTAATTACTATTTCCAAGTAACTTGACCAACACTGAACACAACACACCAGCCCAAACCAATCTGAGCCCACTGTCTGTTTCTGAGGGAGCGGTTTCATAGACTCAGGAAGTCAACCGCTCGTTCAGGGGACAGAGGAGAGCGCGTCTGACAAAGCTCAAGTTTATGAAAAATAAGACTTAAAAAAAAAAGAAAAACCACGAATGCATGTTATATTGCACCCCATAAACACAATCATGCAAAGAAAAAAAGCAGTCAACCCCCCCTTTAACATATAAGATTACTTGGCTCAACAAGTGACACATTACATATGCATTCATCAAATATTTTACGTTTTTTTTTTACGGTTTTGATTTTAAAATGACTTGGTAGCAGAGGGCCCCATGATGAAGCTCCACCCCCACTGTACTGAAAGTCTAGCTACGCCCCTGGTCGGACTATATTTTCATGTGGAGCATTCGGATATATTTTTTTTTGCCTGAATTACCGCTGGGTGTGAATTGTGCCAAAATACCTTATCTTCTCTGAAAAGCGTTCCACACATTCAGCTGACATAAAGTGGGGCCAAAAAGTAAGTATTTAGTCAGCCACTGATTGTGCAAGTTCTCCTACTCAGAATTGATGAGAGAGGTCTATAATTTTCATCATAGTTACACTTCAACTATGAGAGACAAAATCTTTAAATCCAGGAAATCACATTGTAGGATTTATAAAGAATTTATTTGTAAATTATGGTGGAAAATAAGTATTTGGTCACCCACAAACCAGCAAGATTTCTGGCTCTCACAGACCTGTAACTTCTTTAAGAAGCTCTTCTGTCCTCCACTCGTTACCTGTATTATTGGCACCTGTTTGAACCTGTTATCTGCATGAAAGACACCTGTCCACAGCCTCAGTCACACTCCAAACTCAACCATGGCCAAGACCAAAGAGCTGTTGAAGGACACCAGGAAGAAAATTGTAGACCTGCACCAGGCAGGGAAGAGTAAATCTACAATAGGCAAGCAGCTTGGTGTGAAAACATCAACTGTGGGAGCAATTGTAAGAAAATGGAAGACATACAAGACCACTGATAATCTCCCTCCATCTGGGGCTCCACGCAAGATCTCATCCCGTGGGGTCAAAATGATCATGAGAACGGTGAGCAAAAATCCCAGAACTGATGAATGACCTGCAGAGAGCTGGACCAAAGTAACATAGGCTACCATAAGTAACACACTACACCGAGAGGGACTCTAATCCTGCAGTGCCAGGCGTGTCCCCCTTAGGGGTGTAACGGTACATGTATTCGTATTGAACCGTTTCGGTTCGAGGCTTCCGGTTCGGTACGCATACAAACCGAACGATTGCTTGGACCATTTTTCCTGCCGGCAAAACACAACGTTGCGCAACATCAAATGGCAAGCGTAATGAAAGCAGAACGAAACTGCACTACTCGTTATGTGCTTCATGGATCGTTTATCAGTTCGGACCAGCAACATCTGTGCAGCGCGAGCCGATCTCGATCAAGCAACACTGTTACTACACAGCGCTAAGAGATCCGGTAAAGAAAACATTTGAATTCGCCACTGAGGTGATAACATCTCTGCGAGATCTAGTGAGAAGCATTCACATTTCTCCGTTATTAACCGTAGATCTCTATTAGATCAAACAGCGCTGATGTGGAAACCAGGAGAAACATTGTGCCGTGAATGAACTAGTAACACTTTACCTCCACAGACCAGCAACATTCACCATGAATTTAATATAGTAACACTAACTGGAACCAGTTTGGCTGGAATGGTGAAATGCTTTCAAGTACTTCACACATCTTTTTCCAGCACTTCAAAATTCAAATATTATATAAATAAATATATATTTAAAAGTTATTTTTAATGTGATGACCAAAACATTATTTGTTCATCCTTCAAAGATGACCCCCATTTATAAACCTGAAAGTTTCGAGATCCAGGAAAACACACACTTATTTAAAAATATTTTTTCTTTAAACAAATAGGAAATTTCTCTGGCATTTCTTTCTTCTTGCTGTATCGAAAACGTACCGAACCGTGACTTTAAAACTGAGGTACATACCGAACCGTGATTTTTGTGTACTGTTACACCCCTAGTCCCCCTGCTTGAGCCAGTACATGTCCAGGCCCATCTGAAGTTTGCCAGAGAGCATATGGATGATCCAGAAGAGGATTGGGAACATATCATGTGGTCACAGAACTTTTTGGTAAAAACTCAACTCGTCGTGTTTGGAGGAAGAACAATGCAGAGTTGCATCCCAAGAACACCATACCTACTGTGAAGCATGGGGGAGGAAACATCATGCTTTGGGGCTGTTTTTCTACAAAGGGGACAGGAAAACTGATCCGTGTTGAGGGAAGAATGAACGGGGCCATGTATCGTGAGATTTTAAGTCAAAACCTCCTTCCATCAGTGAGGTCCTTGAAGATGAAACGTGGCTGGATCTTCCAGCATGACAATGATCCCAAACACACCGCCCGGGCAACGAAAGAGTGGCTCCGTAAAAAGCATTTCAAGGTCCTAGTATCGGAATATACTAGTATCGGAAATGCCGTCGATACCAATAAAAATTCTGGCATCGGTATCAGTGAGTACTTCTATCCGTGTACCTATCCGATACCGTTTTCTTAAAGAGCAACATGCAGGTTGAATTTATTTCTGAATTAATACTTTAAATTGTCTGCAGAGGTCTTTTAAAACACATATGTAGAAATTACAAATGAAATCTCATTTGATGTAGAGATTTTGATGAAAATGTGCAAGGCTCTGGAATACGCCTTTCCCGCAAGCAACGCGTCATATGACGTAGGCCGAGGCAAACGAAAGAGCTCGCGGTCCGCTTTCTCATTGTTGGGTGTTGATGTAGTTAGAGCAGTAGTGAGAGACAGAGAGTTTTAGAGAAGCCATAATGGTAAATTGTGTTTGTGCTGGTGGCACGAATTCCAGCCTGTCAGGACATCGTGTCCATAATTTTCCTTCTAGGAAAAACAAGGCTTTTCGGTCTTGGGTGCATTTTGTTACCACTATAGGTTACCACACACTCGGTCGTTTGTGGCGCACATTTCACTCGCTTTAAATGGTATCACTAACTGCAGTTGAAAAGCAAACCGAGCTAAAGCAAGCCGAGTCATACCATGCAGTGGAAAAGCGAAGCGAGCCGAACCGTACCGACCGAGCCGTGCCATGCAGTGGAAAAGCGCCATTAGACTGTTGTTATTGTAGCTTAGGTATTGTCATTGTTTATTTGTTGTTATGGCATGGTCATTAGTCAATGTAGATAGTGCTAACCAGCTTGGATGGACTGCATAATCACGGTCAGCGTAGAATATGAGAAGACAAAATGTTGCTGGCTTAAAATAAGACAATCTAAATGGATGTTTAATCAAGAACAAGGTCGAACGCATGTTTGCTAAAGCAGATTTATTACAAAACACCAAGGTACTAGCCATACAGTAGCTGAACCAGCGTTAGCCACGGTGCTACAGTAGCTAACTTACATGAATTTACCAAGTCACTTGCCCTATTATTCACCACTGGTTTTCTTGACACCACAACTCTAACGTTACTTCTCTCCTCTGCCCATTGTTCCTCCCTCGATCTCCCCCTGACTTCTATCTCGCCTAGGAGGCTCATTATTATAGGCCCGTGGACCATCATAGGCATGTTCGTCAACATCGGAGAACTCGGTTTCTTCATTCGCATCCATTGTAACCTGAGCTTGAACTCGAACAGACTCCCTCGCCGATCGTCACTTCCGGTTAGTGCTTTATAGACGCGGGAGTTATTTTTCACAATTTTTCTCAAAGTATCGTCAATGGCTAAATATATATATTACTCCAGTTCAGAAAATCTAGTTGTTTTATCATCAACATACACTATGCTATATAGGGGTGTCCAACCTGCATGTTGCTCTTTAAACAATAACTAGTTATACATGCTAGCTTTGCTTACCGCTGCAAAACGGAGATCAATTCTTCTTCGCTGCTCCAAACGGTGGTTGCTTGTGGCAACACAGGAAGTCGTGCTGTTGCCACAAGCAACCACTGTTTAGAGCAGCGAAGAAGAAAATGCGCACGCGCCCTGGCAGTATGACCGCAGTTTGGCAGTATTTCAGATTGGACCAACCAGCTGGTAAAATGGCGACATGTCTCATATTCCATACTGCAATTTCGAGGGGTGGAACAAGCAACTTCAACACGAGTAACTTAAGCATTTGAAGACGCGTCACCTCGCAGAACACGATAGCAGACGGAGGATGAGTCGAGCCAGAATCAACAATCTCTGAAAGCTTCATTCAAACCAAGAGAAATGTTTTCAAAAGACAGCCAACGAGCGATAAATATAACCCACAACATGTAAGTTATTGAGTTTATTGTTCTGGATGACCAGCCTTCAGTTATAAAGAGATTTTTTTCTTATATTATTCAAATATAATCTTTTTAGATTCCTAGATTTATTTGTTTTACTTTTTTATATAGTTATTTTGTAAATCTAAAATACCCTTTTCAGTTTACAGTATTAGATGTGTGGCTGCATTTTAAGTTCTTTTTCGCATAAGATAAATAATATATTGCTGTGAAATGTATGTCAGATAATAAAAATACTCTAGTTCACTCTATGTATTTGTTCATGTTTAATTTAGGGATAAGACTGAAGCACACCATAAGATAATTCAATCAATTCACACAGAGCTAGTATGAATTGCAGCTGTATAGATACTGTACACACCCAGGTATCATCAGATCAGTACAGGTATCGGAAAGGGAAAAAGGGTATCGGAACATCTCTACCTCACACATAACAAAAGGTCAATGGATCCATACCAGAAGTGACCGTGCAGAGCCGATAAAGATCAATCCCCCAACGAGTAGCCAGTATGGATCCATTGTCAATCTGGGGTGGGGTGGGCTGATAAGTCCTTAAAAAGAAAGATTTAATTTGTAGCATTCCTTTAAACCATATTAAACAATGCGTATTTCAATTTTGTAAACATTTTGCCATTATAAAACGTTTAGACAACATGAACAAATGGTCCCCAATAGCTCTCTAGGTACTGCAGAATAAACAGCTGCCCACTGCTCACAGTGTGTGTTCACAGTGTGTGTGTTCTTCAATACTCACTGTTGTGTGTGTGTGTGTGTGTGTGTGTGTGTGTGTGTGTGTGTGTGTGTGCACTTGAATGGGTGAAATGAAATGAACCCCATATTGGTTACGTCACATCATATCACACAATTGTAGCTTTAAAAAAAGCACATTTGTACACCAAAATCAAACAAACAATTACAATTAATAATTTTACCTGTTATGACACGTCTGAGGGTCTTTCCCTTGATGTTCTTCAGTGAACTAAAAGGGCTGATGATGGTGACGTTCTCCTTTCTTTGTCACTTTATAGGAAGAAAGACAAAAGGATAAAAAGTTACTCAGATTTGTCACTGGCAGAGGAAATTACTTTTGATTAGGAGAATAATACTTGGGTACCAAAGTACATTTGATGATACCAAAGTACTATTGCAGGGTATTTATATTAACTACATAAATATGTAAATGTCTTTGTAGTAAACTTAACATAAAATAAATGTTTCAAAAATATTTTGAAATGTTTCAAGTATATTTTAGTATATATTTTTTTTTTGTTCACTAGGGTTTCAAGTGTTTGAGTTTTAAAATAGCTGAAAACATTGACATCAGAGGCTAGGCTACAACACATGTGCTCTGGAGAGGGCATAGACATATACAATAGACCTCACCTTGGCTACGGCAGTTCATTGGAACGAATGCGTCAATAGAGCCGCCATCTTGAAACAGGGGAGCCCCTCCACATTAATGCATCAGAGTCAATGCAGACACAGGTCTAACGGAAACAAAATCACCATAAATCATCATGAATGCGATTTTTCTCGTTTTTTGGTTTGTTCCAACGGTCAGACATGTATTTATCATTGATTCCAGAATTTTTTTTTAATTAAAAAAAAAAAAAAAAAAAAACATTCTTCCTAGTTCAGATTTCATCCGTGAACATCATATGACCTTGATCAATGAATTTGAAGTAAAGGCAGAGATAGCAGCGTTCCCTAGCTACTTCCTATGACAAGACCCCTGTTCCAAGATGGCGGCGGTTTTGACCTTGACGCATGCTTAGAACCCCAAGGTGACGTCTAGTGTATGTCTATGTGGAGAGGGCTGCTCCAACAGAATATCATTGTATTGAATTCAGTAGCCATGTTTCCATCCACTTTTCAATCGAATTATCGGAAGTTCGGTAAAAAAAAAACTCATGCGAATAAAGCTGGTGAAAGTGTGTTTCCATCGAACGGCTTTAAAGCGAATAAAAACCTGCACGTAATGACGTCACATGCTGTTTTGCGATCAAATTGGTATATCTAAATGATTTGAGACATTTTAAGGTGTTTCCATTCATTTTCGCACTGAATCGAACAACATTCAAACAAACTTTTGCGAACTAAGTTCTGCTAGAGAAAACGGATCGCGCCATCTACCAGCAAATGATCAATAAAGATCCATCTATCTATTCGCAATTACAGAAACGTTATGTCCGTTATAAAACTTAACTCTCGTGTGGATGTAACCCATTAGTGGGATTTAACACTGCAAAAAGAAAAGGAGGAAAAATATCTCCTTGGGTCTGAGCTCACTAAATACCTATATTCCGTTTATAATAGTATCTGGAGTCCCGGGTTCGGGGTCTCACACCTTGCATTACAAAAAAAATTTAAATGCGTGTCTGCACTTGTTTAAATTAATGTCTGTAGTACTAACTGGACAATTAAATAAATGAAAATAATATTAAGTAAACCAATGAATAAACTTAAATATGAAATAATGAATTAATAAATGATAATAAAATGAATTAACAGATAAACCAATCAGATCACTGAACAGTAACTGTTTACTGGAATTTCATTCCCCTCAATGTGCACGGATCACTTTTCACAAATCACATCACATGAGAATCCCCTTTGACAAATCACCATTTGAAAACAAAATCAATGACAATCAAAGAAAAAATAAAATATAATAAGAAAAATAAAATAAAAAATATAGCTGCGAGCATCGATTGCGGGCCCAAGCCAGTGGCACCGCAACCCTGGTGCCTTTAGTTACCTAAAGGCACTAGGGTGGCGGTACCGCCAGATTTGGCCCTTCATCGCTAAAATTAAGGAAAACAAATATATTGAAATATAGCACATGAATTTTAAATTCATTCAGCTTCAATTTCCGATTTGTAGTTTACCAATTTATCTTACTTTTATTTAAAGCAAACTATACATTAGTGTTGTCAAAAAACTCGGTACTTCGGTACCAAGTCGGTACTAAAAAAAAAAAAAAAATGTTACGGTACCAGCTTTTCTAGGTACCGAATACCAGGTTAATCCAGTTCTAGACGCGCTGTCTGAAAGGTGCACAGTTGCGTCCTCTTCATAACGCTGATATGGCTCTCTCTCTCTCTCTGAATCCACTTGTTGACACGAAAGGAGGAAAGAGCCACATATGAAATATTTTGGATTAGGCTAATGTCACGTTGCCATAAGAGGCCGATTACATGCAAATTCGCAATTTCAAATATAGGCGCGAGGCAAGCGCGCTCATAATAAAAACTCGTTGCATAGCAACGACAGACGCCGCGTGAGAGCAAGCGCTTTGAAAAGAATAAGCACGCGCAAAAATATAATAAAAAAAACACGCGCGATATGCCTCTAAAGTGCTTTCGGGGTAGTTTTACGAGTACATGGGCACAGTAGTATTATCCAACCGACACCAGAGTACTGGTATTAGTATCGATGCATCCCTATTTGTGTCATTTAATGTCAGTGCCAGTTCTAGGCATATTCTTGCCTTTATAACTCAGAAGTTTTAAAAAGCCTTTTCAAAATTAAATATGAATGCAGTTTTAGATTAAATAAAAGTACAGTCAAATCAAATAAAACATGTTTTTTCTCCTGTAGCCTATAGTTTGGTAATGCTACAATAAGATACCATTTATCAACATTAGCTACTTCACATCAACACATGGAGTGAACAATATATTTTTACAACATTAATTAATGTTTGTAAATGTTATTTAATAGAAACACTTGATTGTTCATGTTTGTTCGCTTTATTCATTGTGCATTAAATAAATGTAAACGGATTAGAACTTTACAAACAACTTTAAAAATGTGTTAGTATACTATTGTTTATTTTAGGTCATTTTATCTAATTTTTTTCTAAAGTGTTTATAATACAAATGTACAGTTTCCATACTTGTAAACGTGATAAACACTTAAATATATGTAAATTTAAACTAAGCTTTGGTACCAAAATTGGTACCGAGAACCGTGAACTTTTACTGGTATTGGTACCGAATACTGAAATTTTGGTACCGTGACAACACTACTATACATTTAAAAGATGGGGGTTATATGCATATTTTGTCATTTAAAAAAAGTACAAAATTGTTATAAAAAAAGACAAGGACTTGCAGGAAAAATCTACAGTCAGCCACACACACACACATAAACACAGACACACATAAACAATGGACTATTCATAAGTTGTATCGATGAGCTAAATTAGTTTTATTAAAAAATAAATCAAACGAGTAGGCTACTACGATTCGCTAAAGAAAATTGAAGATAGCCTACTCACGTTTTGGCTTAAGTTCTTCACGTTTATCCGATACAATTTGATAGGAGGCGCTGTCTCGAAAAACGAGGGGTCTGAGAATGCGGGACTCTGGGTGCAGCTGCAGCTTCATCTCCCTAATAAAGTTAAAGAAACTAACTTTAAAATAATAAACAGATACTATCCTTGTAATGACTTTATTAGTAAATTTAAAGAAGGTTTTTCACCACTATGCAGTTTCTGTAATGAAGAAAATGAAACAATAATACATTTATTTTTTAGTTGTAATTACACTAATTTATTCTGGTCCCAAGTTTCTTGGTTACTTTTTGAGTTATTTTATAAATTTGTCACAATAACTGAGGTAATGGTCTTGTTTATGGATTGTAACTCTGATTTATTGGAAATGAATAATATAATTAAACTTCTTATTCTATTTGGAAAATATCATTTACATAAAGCAAAATGTAGATCCACTGTACCAAATGTTAGACTATTTTCCACTGACTTGATGTTTTATGACTCACTATACAAAACAAGACATCAAAATTGTTAAAAAAGATACTTAATGTATTAGAAAGATGATTGATATGTGGAATGTGATGTGATGCAGAATCATAGGCATCATTTACAGGGGGGGGACGGGTGGGACATGTCCCCACCACTTTTTGCCAGGGTCGATTTTGTCCCCACCACTTTTGAAACATCTCGCGGTACAGCTGTACCAATACAAATAAAACATCTTCAGTTAACAGAATTCGTTTCATTTATTTGTTAAATAACAGGCGATCTAGCACTGAAATGTGTTGTCTTCTCTCGGAAACGCGCTTCAATCCGTTGCGGAGATTCGTTCCGGTGAAATCACTTCAAAATGCACTCAAACGTGTCCCCGTTTCTCATGGGTTCTAATCGGCTCTCGTATATTTTTTCCCCTCATCAAAACATACAACCACAGATAAACATTATTGGTTTTGATGAGAAAGAAAAAAAAAACTACACGAGTGCGAATTAGAACCTCAAACCTCCCGAGTCCTGACACGCTAGGCAAAACTTCTACCTCTGGACCATCACTTTACATATGCATTATGGGGCGTATATACTCACTATACTCGGACATTGTGCTCATTTTTATTTATGTACATCAGGAAGCTACAGGAAATCGTCTTTCAAAACATGATCTACTCGAAAGAGGAAAAAAATAATGAATGCGTCATTGTACCCAGCACTTTTGAAAATTCCCTTCCGAATACGTCTCTGTCCCCGAGATATATACAGCTGCAGACCCGCAGCACCACCAGTTTCAGAACCCCAGTTTCAGAACCGGAAGTGAGGCAGGGCGGAATTATTATTGCATTATAATTATTTTAGCAAGCATGTAAGGACATAACGGGCCTTGCGTTCCTCATTTGATACATTGAAAGTTAAATTTAAAAAAAAAAATTGTTGATTAAACAGGCCTAGCTTGGGTTGAATTGGTCATTTTGTATAGATTTTTAACAAAACAATGCCGAATTTTCTCTCTTTTTTAGATTTGGACATTATTTTAACTCTCTATGTTATGATGATATACATTACTGTACAGTAAGCAATTTAAAAGATTGATTTTGTGTAAAATAATTGTATATAGTTTCAGTTATTCGTTTCATTGTATTACAGGGTTCCTACACAATTTCCATTTCAAAATTCCATACTTTTCCAGACTCAAATTTCCAGACCTCATACAGATTTTTCCGACCATATTTAAAGGGGAACTATGCAGGTTTTGTAGCTGAACTGAACAGCTTTGGAGTTATTGGAATGGTTATATGATTTCTTTCTGGTCGAATGGTGGTCGTCTCACAACGGCGCTACATGGTGACGCACTTACCCACAATGCTATCAGCACCGACAAGTATGTTACACTCTGAGTCAAAATGTGTATGCTATCATGTTAAATTTGTACATTTGTACAGTGCAATGTTGTTCATTTTTGTAATTTTGTAAATTTAAATAACTGTAAACCCCTACAGAAACAGAAGGGATGTTCATGTACAATTAACCAGAAAATTAGAAAATAGAGCTAAAGTCATGTTTAGTTGTTTAGTCAAAGATGTCAAAGTCAAAGATGTTTAGTAAAACTCTGTTTGAGGTAGGGGCGCTGTGATGGCAACTGCTGCCTAAAAACGTAACAACCAATCACTGCAGACCTAGACTCTGGCAGATCAAGTGTAAAAACGATCTTTAGGCAGCGCTCGCTGGCAGCCTAATCCAAACGTCATGAAAAAGACGATTGCATATTATACATTTAGAAGTGATTAATTTTATATTTAGAAAACGAAATAGGTACAATAGTCTGGAAACATCAATATTTTTCCATACTGTGATTTACTTTTTCCATACTTTTCCAGACCTGGAAATTACTCAAATCAAATTCCATACTTTTCCATACTTTTCCAAACTGCGTAGGAACCCTGGTATTATGAGTTACTTCCTGATCATGATGGTGAAAAAATAATACTTGAAACTTATGGGCATTTTAATGTATAACAGTTTAATAATTTTAGCTAAGCAGTTTATACATAGGCTACGTGTAGATTTATGAAGGTAAGACCTTTGTTTTTTTTTTTGTTTTTTTTTTTTTATGAAGGAGTTAACTTAAGTTTCAAGTATTATTTTTTCACCATCATGATCAGGAAGTAACTCATAATACAATGAAACGAATAACTGAAACTATATACAATTATTTTACACAAAATCAATCTTTTAAATTGCTTACTGTACAGTAATGTATATCATCATAACAGAGAGTAGGACGTTTCTTGTTCAATAAAAGCTGTTTCATGTGTAAAATACCCTCCAAATTCCGTTAGGTGGCGTTATTAGGCATCAAATCTAAGCTCCGCCCCTCACTTACGTTCCAGGCACTAGTGTTGGCAAAGAGTGGTTATACATAGACGCCCTATTGGTCGCTTTGGAACGTTGCTACGATACGTCAACGGGTCCGCCATTTTGCGGAGGTCAAGACTGCATTGTAATTAAATGCAAGTAAACGGGTGAGCTGCGTTTTTCTGGATAAAAACATTCTTGGATAAGAATGGTGAAGATCCCCATACTGAGATATTTAAGTTTGCTCATTGTGGAAAAAGCATTTTATGTGATTGACCAGATTTTAGCAATAACATTGATAACTGATGGATCATTTATGATAATACATATGTTGTGGTACAACTGGGCATGCAGTGCAATGCAAATAGTAATTATAACATAAAGTGAAAAGTACTAGTAAATAGTTTAGTCAATAAAATAAACAAATAGTATACAGCAAATAAAATGGTAATGAATACATGTAAAAATATTGATAATAGTTTATTAATAATTCTATAATAATAGCAATAGAATAAGACATTTCAACTACAGAATAAACACACACAAAAAATATATTTAATATTTAGCTCTTTGTGCTAAATTTCAGTTTTATTGATCAGTAATAGGCTAGCCATTATAACAGACGTAGCTTCAGTCAAACATACAATGTTAAAATAGCCTAAATATAAAGTTATGAAACTTTACTTTGCCTTCAGCCAAAACTATTTACCAGGGAACCATTTATAGATTAATGAGACCAAAGATAAACACAAATTATACGAATTATATCTCATGTTTAACCTCTTGACTAGAGACATCCGAGCCAGCGGCAACCGTCAGAAGCACTGGCCGTGGTACGGCTGTTCCAGGCGGGGGAGACGAGCGCTGGGCGGGGGCGCAGCAACTCCGAAAACTTCAGATCAAATTTTTAAATAGGCTCTATCTTTATAAACACACCACATATTTGAGCTTTAAACAACTACATTGTCGACTGAAAAACTATTAAAACTACATTGCGTGACACAATAACAGTAGTATTTAATCTCTAAACGTTACTTACTAATTAAATCATGACCAAATACAACCAAAAACAAACGTTCAGTCTTGCTTGTGAAAGGTACTTCCTCGAAAGCTGTTTTCAGTTGTGTGGCGATTTTTACAGCCCCAAGCAGCGCACAAAACAGGCATTTTTCTCAATTCCCGGTATGAGAGGTATGGGAAAGTTGATCTCCCCAATATGGCGGCGCCGTTGACGTACGCGCCAGCGGCCAATAGGGCGTCTATGTATATATTATGGCCCTGTCCCAATACTCCCTTGAGCCCTAAGGCCTTCCTCGAAGTGGACACTTGTTGAAAGTGCACTTAGCGGAGAAAGTGCGCAAGGGCCCGAAGCTGTGAAGAGCAGAATTGGGACAGTTTTGCACACGTCAAAAAGCTACGTCAATTCTGGTGTGATCAGCAAACACTGTTCATTTGGCTAATGTGTGTTATGCTTATAATAGCTGTAACATGACACAATCCTTTGAATGAAAAAATTAATATCTTTTTTTTTTTTTTTTTTTACTATTAGCCAGCAACCTTTCTGTTAATGTTATTAATATTAAAACATTTTTTTTTTTGGCTAAGATAATATGTGATTGAGGTTTACCTGAGTTTATACTGCCTTACCATATTCAGATTCGATGCAATGTTAATTGTTATTATGGAAATTGATGAAATTCCCATACATGAAAAAAAAAAAAAAAAACATGACGTGTTTTATATTGACGTGATATATTTTGTATAGGCTATATATTAAAATAGTCTAACATATAGGCTGTATAAAATAAAATGACACAACCCTGTCTCTTTTTATTTTATTGACCAAGAATAGCCATTATTAAAGTATAAGTAGCTTAAAAAGTATAAGGAGCTATATAAGTCAAGAAATAAGGCAAGTTAAAAGATTCACGTTACAGATAGCCTAAATAGCCTAAATATATAAAGTTATGAAACTTCACTTTTCCCCTCAGCCAAAACGATTTGCCAGGGAACAAATCATAGATTAATGAGACCAAAGATCGCCCGTCTGATATACACAAGCCGATTTATAACTCATGTTTAACCACTAGAAACAGAGCCCGCGGGAAACGCGAATGACTAGCCGGGGCAAGGCTGTTGCAGGCGGGGTACATGAGCGCTGAGCATCTGCCGCCCTGTGATCAACTGGAACTCCGAAAACGTCAGATAAATTTTTTAAAATAGGCGCTATTTTTATAAATAAACCACAGATTTTAGCTTTAAACAACTATATTCTCGACTGAAAAACTCTTAAAACTACATTTCGTGACCCAATAAAACAAATAGCTTCCTTTATCTTCGGAGTTTCCGCTCCCGAACAGCACCATAGCAACCGTTCTCCCCTACAAGGATTCTGGGTAATATCCCACAGCAAAGTGAGGTCTGATGCACACTTACGAAAAGGGTGCATTAAGTGCCCTTTTGATCACCCCTGGAGAACACTATTAGAGGATTGGGACACCCTACGGTCTTGCACCCCTTAGCGAGAACGCGCATTGAGGGGCACAAGGGCGCAAGTGCAGATTTTGGGACAGGGCCTATGTCTATGGGTTAGAACCTAACTCCGCCCCTCACTTCCGGTTCTGGCGCTGGGGTTCTGAAAATGGGGTTCTGAAACTGGTGTGCAGCGGGTCTGCAGCTGGATACTATAGGTGTCCCCAGCACATTTCAAACCAAACTGACACCCATGTGAAGAATTATTATTTTTATAACAAATTTATTTATTTATTTTTTCTTTCGTTTTTGTTTCACAGATTCAAATGTCAATGTCAAATGTCTCTGTATTCCCCTTTAACGTTCTCAATAAAAATAAAAAATACAAAGTCTGCAGCTTCATGCTACTCTCATAGGAAGTGCCACGTCTCTCCGTTAGACGGGCTCTGGTTCTCCCTAACAGCGCGACTCGAACACGATCCCAGAGCGTCGAAACAATCCCAACTAATGTAAAAAAAAACAGTTCAAACACCCTTTTAGAAAGATATTGACAACGATGGTTCAGATATCGACAGCCACACATGTGGTTCACGATCTCTCTCTTCACTGAACTGGCGCGCATGACGTCAGCTCTCATAGATAATACTTTTAACATTTATAACTTAAACATTATTTCCATTACATAAATGTGCAAACAAGTTCTAACAAGTATACTTATACAGCATAAATGCTTTACATGTGTTATATTGCACACTCTATACTCAATTATGAACAGCATTAACCATCCACATTTTCGTACATTAACAAACACAAACTTAAACAGAATTTGTGAAAATACAAAACAATTGTGACTTACCTAATGTAACAAAACAGTTCAAACACCCTTTAAGAAAGATATTGACAACGATAGTTCAGATATTCGACAGAGCACATGGTTCACGATCTCACTCTTCTTCTTCTTCTTCTTTTGTTTTATTGGCAACCGCACTTATCAGTGCATTACTGCCATCATCTGGTAGCTTGGATCAGAACCACTTCCTATATTACTTAACATTTGATTTCTATCCTTCCCCACCCCTAAAAAAAAAAAAAAAAAAAAAAAAAAAATTTAACCCACTGGCGCTGCGTGTTCAGCTCCTCCAGTATCCGCCCCACCTCCCTTTAACTCCCGCTTCTCACCATACTCTTAACCATTCAAATTAGCTTTCCTTACTTAATCCTATATATTAATCCTACAATCTCTTTATTAAACCTGTATTATTCAGAAACTGGAACAACACATCAACTGTACTACTTCCTATGTTTGACTCTAATATATTCTTCAATGTTAATTTCTTCCCTTCACTCCATACTGCTTCTCTTAGCACTTTCCTTTCTTCTTCATAACCCTTACAAATAATAATCGCATGTTCCACAGTTTCACTCTGTCCACATTTATCACATAATCCTGTTGGGTGTTTAGCTATTAATTGCAATGTTTTATTCAAACCTGTGTGTCCCACTCTTAGTCTTGTAATTATACTTTCCTCCCTTCTATTTCTCCCTTTTTTCCTTCCTTCTCCCACTTTCTTTTGTATTGCATATAAATGTCTCCCTTTACTTTCATTATCCCAATATTGTTGCCACTTTTTAATCATTTTCTCTTTTATTACTGATTTTTTTTCCTTTATACTATGTGTTATCTCAATTTCTACCATTTCCTCATCTACTGCTTGTTTGGCTAATTTATCTGCTTCTTCATTTCCTTTAATTCCCACATGGGCTGGCACCCACATAAACTGCACTTCTATTTTACTTTGCTTCAACTCAAATAGATTCTGCAGGATCTCCATCATTAAATCTGGTCTTGTTTCTGATTTTTGATTATCAATACTGGTTATTGCTGAATATGAATCTGAACATATGACCGCATTATTAATTCTCCTTTCTTTAATTAATTGAACTGCTAACACTATAGCCATCAGCTCCCCAGTATATACTGATAATTGATCACTAATTCTAGCTTTCCTCCTCACCTGTAATTTTGGTGCATAGACTGCCACGCCTATTCTCTCTCCTCTTTTGGACGCATCCGTGTATATCCGTATATGCTCTCCATACCTACTTCTTAAATACTCATTTGTTTTTACTGCTTCCATCTCATTACTTCCTTCTCTATGTCTCATCTTCAACAAGGTTAAATCTATTTCTGGTTGAGAACAAATCCATATAGGATTATTCGGATGTATTACTCTTGGCACACATCTATTATCTATCCCCATCTCTTTGATATCATCTTCTACCACCCGTCCAAAACTCCTGTATTTCTTCCTCCCTTGTTCCCAACATTCTTCTAATATTTTCCTTGTTGGATGCATCTCATCCTGACTAATTAGATTTGCCCAATAGACAGCCATTAACTGTTGTCTTCTGATATTAAGCGGCATTTCATTTATCTCCACTTGCATTGCTGCTATAGGTGTAGTTGGATATGCTCCACAGCAAATTCTCAATGCCTGTGCTTGAATTCTGTCTAGCTTCGCCAACTGTGATTTTGCAGCCAACCCATATGCCATGCTTCCATAATCTAGCACAGATCGTATCATTGCTACATATACTGTTTGAAGCGCCCCTCTATCTGCTCCCCACTCTTGTCCTGCCATACATTTCATTACATTTAGAACTCTTTTACACTTATTCACGATCTTATCAATATGCTCTTTCCATGTAAGTCTAGTATCCAGCCATACCCCCAAGAATCGAACTGATGCCACTCGTGCCACTTCATTGTTATATATCTTTATCTTACAATCATTATCTACTTTCTTGTTGGTAAATATAATACTTTGCGACTTCTCCACAGATAGTTTAAATCCCCACTTATACGACCATTTAACTACCTCATCCACCGCCTTCTGCATTTTCTCCATAATAAACTGTTTATTTCTTCCTCTGAACCACAAAGCCCCATCATCTGCAAACAATGACCTACCAACACTCCTATCCACCTTACTAAATATATCATCTATCATTATTATAAAAAGAACTGGACTTATTACACTTCCCTGTGGAGTGCCATTTTCTACTATTCCTTGAGATGATATAGATTCCCCTACCCTCACTCTTATTACTCTTTCCTTAAGGAAGTCATTAATCCAATTGAACATTCTTCCCCCTATCCCCATTTCCTCCAACTTAATCATAAGACCCTCCCTCCACAACATATCATAGGCTTTTTCAATGTCGAGAAACACAGCAATTACTGATTCTTTGTTTGACAGAGCTTTCTTTATTTCTCGATCTCACTCTTCACTGAACTTCTTCTTCTTCTTCTTCTTCTTTTTTTTTTTTTTTTTTTTTGGCGGTTGGCAAACCAACTTAACGGTGCATTTACCGCCACCGACTGGGCTGGAGTGTGAATCAGGAGATATTGGAACTTAAAAAAAAATATATATATATATATATCCTTTTTGCTAAGTCTGTATCTCTCAGAAACTTAATAACAAAGTGATAATTGTTGCAGGATGTTTTCCCTAATAAACCTTGCATTGTGAAATTATTCTAATTGACCATTCTAAGAGATTGAAAAAGCTGGTTTCTTTCTTCACTGTACTTTGTGCACTGAAATAAAATATGCTCCACAGTTTCTAAATGAGTACAATGCTGGCATTTCCCTGTTGGATGTTTCCCTATTAGTTTCAATGACGAATTAAGCCCTGTGTGTCCTATTCTTAACCGTGTTATTATACTTTCCTCTCTTCTACTCCTACACTCTATTCTTCCTATACCCACTTCTGGTTGTATATTATATAAATGTCTCCCTTTATCATGATCCACCCAATACTCCTGCCATTTTGATCTTGCATAAGCTTTAATTAATATTTTAGCTTCAGTTTTGCTATATGGAACTTGTAATATTCTATTATGTTTCAGTGTTTGTTTTGCAAGTTTATCGACCTCTTCATTCCCTTTCACTCCAACATGTGCAGGTACCCAGAGAAACCTGACTTTTAAATCCTTTGCTTTTAACTTATGTAAAATCATCCAAATTTTATGAATTATATCATTTCTTATGGATTTCCCAGATTTAATGCTTTCTAAAGCTGAGTACTATCAGATATAATCACTGAATTATTTAACTAATTTCCCTCTACCACTTCCAGGGCCAACAAAATTGCAACCAGTTCTGTTGTGTATACTGATAAATTATCTGTTATTCTTTCTTGACATTTAACCCCACTGTTTGGGATAAATACTGCTGACCCAGATGTCCTGTCTTTGGATCCTTGGATCCATCTGTAAATATATGTATATCCAAAATAATGCATTTCCAAATACCTCTTATCCTTCACTACTACTTCCTTTGCTTTATTTTTGATCTCCTTATGAACGCCTAAATCTACATCTGGTATAGGGAAAAACCATGGAGGAATAGGAGGGATTGAAACCGTTGAACAGTACTGTAACTTACATAACCCTATATTCTCAGCTTTCACATCACCAATCCACCCAAAACTTCTGTAATTGGACTTACTGTGTTCCCAGCATTCTTTTAAGATAGCTTTAGCTGGGTGGCTATCAACTTGTCCCCTCACATTAACCCAGTATGCCAACATCAGTTGTATCCTTCTGATACTCAAAGGCATCTCACCCATTTCCACTTGCATAGAAGACACTGGGGAAGTTTTAAAAGATCCACTACATATCCTTAAAGCCTGAGCTTGCATGACATCCAATGCTTTAACATTAGATTCTGCTGATGACATATATGCTATACACCCATAATCAAAGACAGATCTCATTAGTGCCCAATATATATTTAGTAACGATGCTCTACTTGCTCCCCATGTTTGTCCTGATAGACATCGTAGGATATTAACAATCTTTTTACATTTATTAATCATTTTTTCCAAATGAATCTTCCATGTCAATTTTTCATCAAACCACATCCCAAGAAATCTTATAACCTTCACTTGCTCAAGAGGCTGATCATACAATTTTAATGATACAGGTGAGATCTTGTTCTTTTTTGAAAAACATATTACTTGTGTTATTGAAAAACACTGATAGTTTAAATCCCCATTTATTTGTCCATTTTTCAACTTCCTTAATTGCATCTTGCATTTTTGATTTAACATAAGATTCATTACGGCCTCTAAACCATAATGCTCCATCATCAGCATACAAGGATTTCCCAATTTTCTGATCAATATTTGAGAATATATCATTAATCATAATATTGAATAATAATGGGCTACACACGCTACCTTGTGGAGTTCCATTCTCGACTGTATATACCTCAGATAATTCTGCACCCACTTTTACTTGTATATTCCTATTAAACAAAAAATCCAAAATCCAGTTATACTTTACCACCAATTCCTAATTGTTGTAATTTAATTAATAACCCTTCTTTCCAAATCATATCGTATGCCTTCTCAACATCAAAGGATACTGCTATTACCACCTCCCTATTATTCTGTGCTTTCCTAATATCTGATTCCAAACTTATTAATGAATCCATTGTACTTCGGCCCTTACGAAACCCACTCTGATACTGGGAAAAAAGGTCATTACTTTCTAAATAATAAGTCATTCTATCTGTAATTATTCTTTCCATTATTTTACACAACTGCGATGTTAGTGCAATTGGTCTATAACTAGATGGGTCAGATGGGTTTTTCCCTGGCTTTAAAATAGGCACTATAATTGCTTGTTTCCACACCGATGGAAGCTGACCAATTTCCCAAATTTTATTAAAAAATTTAAGTACTATTTCTAATGTTTCATCTGTCATATTTGCAACCATTTTATAACATACCATGTCTTTTCCTGGAGTAGTTTGTTTTGCATTAATGACTGCTTTTTTCAGTTCAAACATATTTAATGGTACATCTAATGGATTTCCTGAGTATCCTTTCTTTTCTAAAACATCTGGGAAACTTTCTAACACTTTGCTTCTATTTACTTTTGCTTCCTTAGTGAGGTTCTGAGAACTATGCACTTTCCTAAATGTTTGAGCTAAAACTTCAGCCTTTTCTAGTGACTGCCACTGTATCACCACTATTTAATACCGGTAATTCATAATTTCTTCTAACTCCTCCCATCCTCCTTATCATTCCCCATATATCAGATAACTTTACATCCCTACCTATATTATTACAAAAATTCCTCCAAAAATTGCGCTTTTGAATCTTAATTGTTTTCCTAACTACTGCCTGCTTTCTTATAAAAGCATTCTGAGAATGATATTTTTTAACATATTTAAAAGCTTTATTTCTTGCTTTAACTACTTTACTGCACTCATCGTTCCACCATGGTACATTCTTACATTTCCTATTTCCTTTACTTTTAGGTATTGATTCCTCAGCTGACAATATTATTTCATTTACTAATAAATTATTAAACTCATTTATCTCTATTTCTTTAATCTCATTAAGTTTAAGACATTTTCCTGCACAGATGATCTGAAAAAGTTTCCAATTTGCATTCTCTATTTTCCATCTTGGAATACTTTTAGTCCTTTCTTGATATGTCCCTGTTCCAACTTTAATTAAAATTGGGAAATGATCACTGCCAATTGTAATTTCCTTATCTACATTCCATGTACTAATACCTGCTATTGTATTGGACACAAAAGTTAAATCAAGTACTGATTCATTATTATTTATACAATTAAACCGCGTTCCCTCTCCATTATTAAGACATACCGACCATTTGTCATCAATATATTCTTCTACAACTAAACCATTAGCATCTGTACTGTTGCTTCCCCATAATGTATTGTGTGCATTAAAATCCCCACACCATATTACCTCACCAATTGGTGATCCCAAGATATTATCCAAAATACTACGCTCTATTTTCCCACAAGGATTATAATAATTGATTACATCTAGAACCTTTACTAGTCCATATCCTTATTGTAATTGATTCATTCTTATCATTTATTTTAATAACTTCATAGCTTAAACCATTTTGAATGAAAGTTGCTAATCCTCCCCCTCTACCATTTTCTCTATCTCTTCTAACTTCTGAATATCCCTTAATAATAAAATCTAACTCTGATTTCAACCATGTTTCTTGCACACATATTATATTAGGTTTCTCTTTTAACTCATCGACATATTTCTTAAATTCCTGGCCGTTTGCTATCAAACTTCTAGCATTCCATTGAAGTATGCCTACATTTACCACCATTTAATCTACACCAACACTGTGCTGGGTAGACTGAGGATCTGTAGGTTATCCCTAACTGTTTCCCAAACCATTCCTTTTAACCCCAAATATTTTTCAGCTGCTTTCACAATAATTTTAATCCTTTCGGTGCGACTGCGACTCTTTGTCTGTGCAGAACAATTGATAATTTCAACCATAAAAATCACAAAGTCATGTTTGCTGACAACTAAATTGTCTTCCCTTGTCTTTCCATCACCTTCATTTGTTATGTCATTTCCAATGCCCTCATTTTGTTGTGGTATTACATTCACTCTGGGGACTAGCTTTACTGCTTCAGAGTAGCTAATACCTTCAGTTACCTTGATCCTTAGTTTGCACCTCTTTGGCTCTCTTACTAAATTCGCAGCCCTGATATGCTGCACTATGCTCCCCTCCACAATTACAGCATTGATTGCGAACTTTGTCACATTCATCATAGTCGTGTTCTCCTCCACACTTACTACACCTCTTCTTTCCTTTACATACAGCCGCGATATGCCCAAACCGTTGACATTTGTAACACCGAAGTGGTGGAGGGATGTACAACTTAACCGAATAACTCATAAAACCGCAACAAGAACCTTGTCTGGTAACGTTTCCCCTTCAAACATAAGCATAACCGATAAGCTGTCGCAAATATCTCCAAATCTTTTAGTTTTGAGTCTTTTAGCTTCACATACTTGCTTAATGTTTGCCATTATATCATCTGCCTGTACATTTACCGGAATGCCGGTAATGACTCCTCTAACTAACTTTTTATCATTAGCCTTTGAACATTGTACTAATTTTCCATGGATTTTACTCATCTTGACTGCTTTTTTGCATTGTTCTTCGCTTTTACAAAAAATCAGTAATTGTCCATCTCTTAGTATTTTTGCACTTCTTACCTCTCCAATGGGCTATATGCACGCATAAGTTCCGCATTTGACGTACGGATGCTCGTCCATTTCCGGTTGTGTAGATTAAAGCGGAGGAAAACCGGAGAAAACGGGATTATGGCAGAGTCTTCAATATTTACTGTCCTCCCGTCTTTGAAACGAAACGTACATACGTTTAGATGTAATTTTATATATAGTTATGTTTATTTAATATAATTTTAAAAAGAAGCATAAACACAACGAGGGGTGTCTCTTTTATCTGTTTTTGTGACTAACGTTTCATTAGTATAACCATGGAGTATTAAATTCAATATAAATTCTCGATATTGCATTGGACTCTATGATCGGCGGAAGTTATCGAGCATCCTTAATCCTTCACCGGAAATAACGCCGTGCATAGAGCCCATTTCTTTACTTAGACCTTTTGTAAGTTGTATCGGATTCCACTCTCTGAACGTGGTACCTTCTTGCCCCAACTTAACAAATACCTTTAATTGTTCCCCATCATCCTTTAAAGAAGCCATTTCACTACAATTAGTTGAATTTCTCTTTTTCCTTTTTATTTGATTAATTTTCCACTCTTTGTTACCCTCGTTGTCTTCCAATTCTCCAGTGCTCCTCAACTCTCCTGTCTCACTACCTACTTCGTCACTTCCTTCCTCCATCTCCTGATCATTCTCAGCCCAGCTGTTGCCATCCACCTGACACGACAGTCTCCGTTTACGCTGACGTCCACCACGTCCACCCGTCATACGCAGCGCCAGCGAGTCCTAGAGCAGTTCTCCAGTCCACACCCAGTCCCGGTTCCAGGAATGAAGTCGAGCTCTTCACTGAACTGGTGCGAGCTGGTAAGTCCCACCCTTCCGCTAACCAAGGCCCTGTCCCAATACTCCCTTGAGCCCTAAGGCCTTCCTCGAAGTGGACACTTGTTGAAAGTGCACTTAAAGGTGCCATATGGAATAATTGAGGTAAAAATATCAAAAAAAATTAGCTACACACATCAAAAGAATGAGAAGAAATAAGTGCAATGATGTCATTAAAAAACTGGCAAGTTATAGTGCTGCCGAGATATAACCTAAATTAGCATGCTAAATTATTAGCCCCGGCCCGGCAGGTGTCGTAATACCAGTTTTGGCCATGGGAGGCGGTATGCGGGCGGGCAACGTTAGCACCAGCCAAACTGCAGTAACACGAGTAACGCCCGTTTCACACATACTCCGTTTGCAGTGCGTATGCGGTCAGTATTTTTTTCCGTACCCATGTTAACAGGTTAGAGCTTTCACACTGCACGCGGATGCAGTCCGTCGATCCGTTCCAGTTGCGGTGCGTATACAGCAGTGCAGAGATCGTTTCCGTACCGAGTCTATTTCTGCTGTGCTGCAAACGCAGAAATAAAGTGCGCACGGTTTGTGGTCAAAATGAACTCAGATTGACCTCGAAATGTAGTAGTTTCACCATAAATGCATTTAATTCAATAAAATGTAGTAAT